GCATGTAGCAGATAGTACAGTTGGGGCCTTATTTTTCTCCTTAAACAGGGTCATCGTGCCCCACAAGAATTAGCCTAGTGTGAGGAGTTATTGCTGTCCTGCCATATGCCGCATTCCAGTCTCCTTGACTTCAGCTCATAAACAGGAACTCCCAAGGGCGGATTCTTCAAGGTGCACTTTCCATGACCTCAGGAGATTGGACCCCAACACTGGTCAGGAGATGATTGACCAGAGCTGGAACTCTTTTGGAAAAAAGCTACTGTCCTCTCCTCACTGTCTTAGCTGGACTATCGCAGTAACCTCCCAACTGACCTTAATGTCTAGGTCTTGCTCCCCTTTGATAAAGAGCAGAGTCCATTCTAATGCCAGAAAGTAGGAATGTGGAGATGGAGCCAGCCCTGTGAGTGGTGAACTTATCAATCAGGGTCCTCCAGAGGAACAGAGTCAGTAGGATTAACATTTTTCATACATATATATTCATACATACATATATATGTGTGAATGATTATAAAAGGGGATTTATTAGATTGGCTTGCACATTCAAAAGCTGAGGAGTCCCACAAGGGCCATCTGTAAGCTGGAGAACCAAATGAACCAGTAGCTGCTCAGTCCAACAAGCTGGAGTCTTAGAACAAGGGGCACCGGTCATGTAGCCCTCCCTGGGGAGTTACTGGTCAAAAGCTGCTTTGGAAAAATAAAGGAGCTGGAGTCTCATGTCCTTGGGGGATGGCAACAGCAATAGACACTCTACTAAAGAGAAATTCAGCTCTCATCTTCCATGGAGTCCTCCTTCTGGATTTGGCTCCACCTGGACCCCATTTTATTGGACTGTGCCACCCACATTTATGGTGGATATCTCCCCGACTCAGTTTGCTGTCCCACATGACAGCCTAGAAACACCCTATCAATACACCAAGAAACGTTATTTTATTTTTTTTTAATAATTATTTTTTGGTTAGACATAATACCTTTATTTTGTTTACTTATTTTTATGTGGTGTTGAGGATCGAACCCAGGGCCTCACACATGCTAGACAAGCGCTCTACCGCTGAGCCACAATCCCAGCCCCAAGAAATGTTATTTTAAAAAATGTTTTTATTAGTGCATTGTAGTTATACATAATAGTGGGGTTCATTTTTAACACATTCCTAAGTGCATATAACATAATTTGCTGTATTTCAGTCTTTAATACTTCCCCTTAACCTACCTAACCCCCCTCTGCCCCATTCCCTTTACTCTGTTGATTTTTCTTCTGTTTATTTATTTACTTTTGTATATTTTTAGTTATTGATGGACCTTTATTTTATTTATTTGTATGCGGTGCTGAGAATTGAACCCAGGGCCTCACACATACTAGGCAAGCGCTCTACCACTGAGCTACAACCCCAGCTCATGTTAATTTATTTTAATTGGTACATTATAATTATATATGAAATTGGAATGCCTTGTGAAATATTCATACACGTACATAGCATGATTTGGTCAGCTTTATTCCCCAGTTCTTCCCTTTTCTCTCCCATCCTCCTTCCCTCTTGGTTGCCTGCCTCTACTGATCTCTCTTTTATTTATGGGAGATCCCCTTTTTAATTTTTTTCCTTCTCTCTAGCTTCCTCAGGAGAGAAAATATTGAACCCTTGACTCAGGGAATTGCATTTTTTTTTTTTTTTTAGTGATATGGCCATTGTGATTGTATTAATTCTGCCTCTCCATGAACATGGTAGGTCTTCCATTTTCTAAGGTCTTCTTCAGTGTTTTATAATTTTCATTGTAGAGGTCTTTTACCTCCTTAGTTATATTTAGTCCTAAGTTGTTGTTATTGCTACTTTCTAAGGCTACGGTGAATGAAGTAGTTTTTTTGATTTCTTTCTTGGTGGACTCATTATTGGAGTAAAAGAAAACTATTATTTTTTGTATGTTCGTCTTGTATCCTGCTGCTTTGTTGAATTTGTTTATCAGATCTAGAAGTCTTCCCAGAAGCCTCTTGATCCTAGATATCTCTCTGTCCAATCAAATTGATAGTTCATATTAACCATCACAGTGAGTGTGATGCCTCTTTCTACCTCATTCCACTGTTCTCTGATGACCATTGCTGTTTTGATCTCTTACTTTACATTGATTCTTTAATGACTTTCTGCCATAGTCATCTCCTTCTTTGAGAATGTGGTGGTGGAAGATACCAACATAAAAACAAATATGCCTTACACACGCTCACATATAATATACACCATAGCCTCCAATTCATTCTACACACTACTACCTTAGGGTCAGGTCCAAGTCCTAGAGCACACTTCACAGAACCCCTGGCCAGCCCTTTCCCTTCTATGTGCCACCTCTCCTTTCATGTCTTGTTGGCACAGGATCCTCAGGTGATAATCTATCCTTTTCCCTTCAGATCTTCTACACCCCAAGAAGAGAAGACCATTTTCTCCTCTCACCCGTCAGCCACCCTCTTAGCTGATTTCTGTGAATATTGTGTGTCTGTTCTTCCACAGAAACAAAAGCATGCAGGAAAGGTGGGAACTGTAAAGTGATAATAATCTCTAGAGTGTTTTGAGCTCTCATGATATGCAGCCATTAGGTTAAATGCTTGACAAGTCATCTCTTAGTCCTCAGCAAAGCTCTGGAAGGGGTAGCTACTATTATTATCTCCATTTTTACAGCAAAGAAATGGAGAGTCTAAAAAACTTGCTTTTTGTGTATGTTGAAAGTATCTGGTTTTTATTTCTTAGGTCCCATGATTTCCAAAGATAAAAAGCTAAATATTAGGTTTTAAGCAACTTTATAAGATTTTTATTTCACTTAAATAGAAATGTAAATCTCCTCCCTCTGAACCCTTGAGGAATTTTTATTTTTTCATAGTGAAACCCTGTGCTGTGTCTCTTGGGTACAAAGAAGCGAGGGGTGCTCAGATTTATTGTTCCATATCGTGCCAAAGCTCCTCTGCAGGCCTTTTCACTGTCAATCCTCACATCAACCATCTAAAGGAAATACCGAGCTGAGTTTGCACATCTACTCTGTGCAGGATGGTTCTGTTCTAACCCAGCCTTCCCCTCCCAAACCCACCATGATTTTTAAGCAAGGGAGAGAGTGACCTGGTCACTGAGAGGGCCGTGGGACCCAAAAGCCTTATGAGAACATGGCTAAAAGTTGTGATATGTCACTTAGAGGATATAAAAGCTTCTTACATATTAAAATCACCTAGAAATTCTGATGGCATTCTTTCTGAAAATGTTTATAGTTATAAACAAATGAAATTTTCTCCCTAATAACATGCTAGAATACAGTACCTAAAATCAGAAAACAGCTTCATAGAAGTTGGTTGCTATGCCTTTTAGGAAGCTAGCAGGTTTCCACTTTCTCATGTCACTTTAAATTCTCAAGGGAGTGGACCTTGTATCTATGCTGTGGATATGTCTCGGGGAAAAGTTCATGTGTGTTCATTCTGGGGTTTGCTCATATCAAATACTACTCTTGAATGAGATTGAATTATAAATTGGAACATGTTTTTCATAACATGGTGGTAGTGATCAGTCTTAATTTTTTTTTTAAAAAAATTCAACTTCCCGAGCATTATTTAAAGGGAAGAAACACACTGCATTCTCTATTCCTATAAACGAGACCGAGAAGCTGAAGTAATTCCTGGGTAAGCAGGATTTATTATAATTTTAAAGAATGTGGCCTCAAATCTAGCCTCTTTGGGTGATAGCCCTTAGCTATCTTATGGGCCACATGGTCATTCTGTTACAAATATGGGTATTGCCTAGAGCACATGGACATTGCCTAGCTTCCTGGAAGATTCGAGAATGAGTGACTCTTCTAAAATTGCCCAACTTGAGTATTTGACAATAAAAAGATAACCCTAAGCTCCCAAACAGGGAGAAATTCTTGCCCTCCTCTTCTGTGAAGATCCCTGTTTTGCTTGGGGGAGGAAGAGGGAGTTGTCAGAATACAATTTCAAGAATGTCAGGAGCTGTGCTTTGGTTCTTCTGCCCCTGGTGTGGAGATCACCAAAGTTGATGGGGAGGGCAGAGGATCAGATAAGAAGGAAGCCATTGCTTAGAAACTGAGAAACTTGAAACCTTTGGAATTCTTCCTGATGAATTTTATTCTCTTCTAGTCTGAAAAACCTTTCTTTCTTCCTAACAAGAGACATACGGAATAAATCACTGATGGTGCGAACAATATCTGAGATAAATGCAACTGTCAGAGAGCTTGCCAGGAGTTCTGCAAGGGCATGTGGTGACTGCAGACAGCTGAGTCTGTATTTTAATTCAGTGGAATATATTCAGATGCCTTTGGGGACTCTGTGACATGTTGTCTGTGGTCCAGGGCTCAAGGCTGCATTTTTAGTAGTAATACTGCTTGTGTTTATGTTCTTGAGAAATTAAGCCATTTCTTCAAAATTTCTGTTGGGCACAAACAGTAAGCCCAGGTCAAAAATGTTCGTGAAGACCTGAGCAAACTCTAATGGAGATTTGGTTTTCCAGACATTCGGAACACATTTTCTAAACATGGATGTATGGAACATCACTGAACAATGACCTCTCAGGTTAATTGAGAAAACTGGAGCCCCAGAGGAATTTTGAGCAAAGTTTTTGTTTTTGTGGCTGGAAGGAACTATAGAATACAAATGTGATATAAATGTTTGGAAAGGGGATGATTTTCAGGTTATGAAAACTGAAGACCAACCACCAGAAGGAAATGCTTTTATATGAATTCAAAATGCTTTTTTTTATTCCAAGTAAAACTTAGATCCTCAGAGGTCTTAGCTTTTCTAAAAATTGACTTTTGAGTATCCACACTAAGCCTTTTATTTGCTCCTGTTTAACATAGGAACTGATTGTGAAATAAGGAGGGGAAATGGGTCAGTTCTGCAAGAGTGTATTATGCAGCAGAAGCATTGATTCTTTCAATTTTCCTTATAAAAATGTCTGCTCATGCTGCATAGTAACTCGTGCCATCAGCACCAGCATCTAATGACCAATTTTCCTTTTCCCCAGGTGACTCAGGTGCGGACACCTTGGCCGTGTTTATGGCCAGCAGCGGAACCACAGACGTCGCAAATCGGAACAGCCCAGCCACACCACCAAACACCCTTAATCTCCGTTCTTCACACAATGAACTGCTGAATGCTGAAATAAAACACTCAGACACCAAGAACAGCACACCTCCCAAATGCAGGAAAAAATATGCACTGACTAACATCCAGGCGGCAATGGGCCTCTCGGATCCGGCTGCACAGCCCCTCCTGGGAAACGGCTCAGCCAACATCAAGCTGGTGAAAAATGGGGAGAACCAGCTCCGAAAGGCTGCCGAGCAAGGACAGCAGGACCCCAACAAAAACATCAGCCCCGCTGCAGTCATCAACATAACTTCTGAGAAGTTAGAAGGTAAAGAGCCCCACCCACAGGATTCCTCCAGCTGTGAGATTTTACCCTCCCAGCCCAGGAGAACTAAGAGCTTCCTAAATTACTATGCAGACCTGGAAACCTCAGCCCGAGAACTGGAGCAGAACCTTGGCAACTGCCATGGGGTCGGGGAAGAGAAAGCCCAGCCAGGCCAGGGCCAGGTCCCTGCTGCCATCATCGGGAATGGTGACTTGCTGCTGCAGAAACCAAACAAACCCCAGTCCAGCCCGGAAGACGGGCAAGTAGCCACAGTGTCCTCCAGCCCAGAGACCAAAAAGGATCATCCTAAGACAGGGGCCAAAACCGACTGTGCACTCCACCGGATCCAGAACCTGGCGCCAAGCGATGAGGAGTCGAGCTGGACGACATTGTCCCAAGACAGTGCTTCCCCCAGCTCCCCGGATGAAACAGGTACCCCTGGGAGAGGTGTGGCCTCAGGTGCACTTCCTGTTGGTGTTTTAGTTATGGATGGAGTAATTCTCTAAGCTGACTGGAAATGCCCTTTTCCAGGCCAACAAGAACATGATAACATTAATAATAACATTAATTAATAATAATTAATTAATAATGACATTAGGTTAAAACTGGGCAATTTGTGTGAAGAGCATTGTTAAATCCAACCACACTTTAGGTTAGTTTCATTTTGAATTATGCATATGTTATTTGCTCTGGGAAAAGAAATAGGTCTTGTTGGTTAAATGCAGTGAAACAACATCAATATAAAAAGTCATACTGCCTGAGTTTAGGCGAGGTAGTGCTATATACCACCTCGAAATACAGGATTTTGGGATTCTTTTTACAAAAAATAAGAAATATAGTTATTAGAGGCAAGCTATAATCCAATTAAGAGAATCAAGAGCCAGTGTGGTGGCGCCTGCCTGAAATCCCAGCATCTTGGGAGGCTGAGTCAGGAGGGTTTCAAGTTCAAAGCCAGCCTCGGCAACCATGAGACATTTAACAACTCAGTGAGACCCTGACTCTAAATAAAATACAGAATAGGGCTGGGGATGTGGCTCAGTGGTCGAGTGACCCTGAGTTCAATCCCCAGTACCAAAAAATAAATAAATAAATAAAAGAGAGCATCAGCTATTTTAAAGTTCTCGGAACTTATTATACCCAAACTAATGAAAAGTTAAAAGTTTAAAACATTAGAAGTCTGTTCCTTAAAGACATTTTCCTTTTGACCTTTACTGGGGACTATTTGATTAGCCTCTTCAAGTGAGATTGGAAAGTGATGTTCATTTCTCTTTAAATGAATTTAGAAGTCTAGAATTTTAGTGGGTCTAATTGAGATCTATCATCTGGTACTTTGGTCTATATGTGTAACATCTTTATTTATCAGAGGAGTTGCATTGTGACAGAAATAAACAAGGTCCTAGAAGTCAGCTACCTTTTATCTCATTTTCTCAGGATCCCCACTCGACTGATCAGAATGCTGGGAGATGTGGGAGCACTTTGTTATATAGAAATTCAGTGTAAACAAGATTCACAAGGGAGTCCCAGCAGCTGCCCTGGTGGGTCTCAAGGCTGTGTTAATGTTGGACAGATATAACAAGTAGAACAGAACACCAGGAAAGGAAATAGCATTTTTCCAACCTATAAGGCAGATAAATAACAGTAAGGAAAAGGAGAAGGAGAGAGTTCAGACATTAACTTGTTTTAAAAAAAAGAAGTGTTTTTGAAGTGCCCTTTAAAGGCCTGGTACTTTCAGTGATGGATTCTCTCATCCTCGTGTGGCTGAATATGGCAGCAGAGAGGTATAGGTGAGTCCATTTCATCCCATAAATTCCTGGCCCTGCACATCATGGGAATCATAATTGTGTTCTGTAATGTGGTTGAGCCCTCAGCTCTCTATTACTTTTTACTCACGTAGAGAATTCATGTCCTATACTTAATGTACATTGTCACCTGCGGGTATGTGAATCTACAAAAGCTGTTCCTTGGGCATCTTTCATCCAAACTCCACCTCCTGTTTTCTGGGCCATCTACCAAGGCCTCTCTGCCTGCCTCTGGTCATGCAGCCATGCGGTGCTTCCAAACACAGCGTGTTCTCTTGCAGTTAAATCTTAAATTAACTGGAAGATACTACAGCAAAGCCTCCCCTCCCTCTCACAGTTGCCTCCTTCTCCCAAAGATGACTGCTACCTTTTTGGAGGGGCTAATTTTTTTAATGAAATAATTTTTTAATTAGTTTGTTATAGTTATACATAATATTGGGGTTCATTTTTATAATTATACCAGCATGGACCATAATGTGTTCCACTTCAGTCCCTATTACCTCTCCTTTCTCTCCTCACCTCCTTGCCCTGTTCCCTTTCCCTACTCTGATTTTTCTTCTATTTAATTTGTGGGTTTTTTTTTTTTTCATTTAGTATATTATGGATATACTTAAAGGTGAAATTCACTGTGGTGTATTCATATATGTACACAGGAAACTTTGGTCAGATTCATTCTGCTGTCCTTCCCTTTCCTGACCCTCTTTCCTCCCCTTCAATCCTCTCTCTCTACTGCACTGACCTCTGTTCTATTTTCATGGAATCCCCCACCACTTCCTCCTCCCCCTTATTTTGTTCTAGCTTCTGCTTATGAGAGAAAACACTCAACCTTTGACTTTCTGGGTCTGGCTTATTTCACTTAGCATTATATTCTCAAGTTCTATCCATTTACCAGCAAATGCCATAATCTCATTCTTCTTTATGACTAAATAAAACTCCATTGTGTGTGTATATCATATTTTCTTTACCAATTTATCTGTTGATGGGCACCTAAGTTGGTTCTATAGCTTGGCTATTGTGAACTGTTGCTTTTATAAACATTGATGTGGCTATATCCCTATAGTAGGCTGATTTTAGATCTTTTGGATATCTATCAAGGAGTGGGATAGCTGGGTCCTTTTGGAGTTCCTTTCCTGATTTTTTGTTTGTTTGAGGAATCTTCATATTGCTTGCCAGGGTAGGTTATTCCATTTTGCAGTCCCACCAACATTTTATGAGTATAAAGTCCTTATCTTTTAGAGGTACATACTAATATAATAAACTAATGTATATAACATAGTATAGTTAGCCCTATTTGTGGGTTTCACATCTGTGTATTCGGCTTACTGTTGATCAACAATTTTTGGAGGAAAAAATTGCAACTGCACTGCACATGCATGTATATCACATTTTCTTTACCAATTGCAACTGCACTGCTCATGGATAGAAATTTTCTCATATCTCTACACAGTGCAGTATAGTTACTTACATAGCATTTAAAAATGTATTACATATTATAAGTAATCAGGTAAAAAGGAGGATGTACATAGGTCACATGCAAATACTATACATTTTATATAAGGGACTTGAGTATCCCTGAATTTTCATATTTACAGGAGTCCTGGAACTCCCTGTGAAGTCCCCAAGGGATGACTGTGACATCCCCCAAGGGATGACTATATATAGTAATACCAGTAATAATGCCTAAAATAATTGGGGTGAGGGATGAAAAAAGAAATAGAATTGGCCATAAACTGGCAAGTTGTTAAAACTGGGTTATGGGTTTTTGAGGGTTCATGATTCTATTCTAATTTTTTGTCTGTAAACTTTACCATGATAAGAAGTTAAGCAAGAAAAATTAAGTAGTTTTTATGCTTTGCTTTTTCTATTTTTATTTTATAGGTCAGTGCCTTTTAGAGTAAGGGTGACGGGGTGGTAGCGGCTCTCCTGAGTCCCTGAGTGTAGATGTTTTGGATCAGGTGTCTTCGAAACAGTGTGTCAACCAGGCCTGAAGATCGCATTTTGAAACCATCCTAGAAGCCACACGTGCTTTCCTTCACAATGGTTGCTTTGGGACCTCAGCACCCATTTGATTCAGCAAGCTGCAGTGTCTCGAAATAGTAACATTAATAGTTTTGGGAGCTCTCTTTTGACATAGCCTAGAGCCAGATGTGTCACCCTAGTGAGATAGAACCACTTCATATCACAGCTCGGAGCTTCAGGTAATAAACACCACATAGATGAGTAAGCAGAATAAAATAAACGATTTTTCAGCCTTAGTAATTCTTTGGATTTCATCTTTCCAGTAAGACACACTGTTAATGTTTGAAATGATCGCAATCATTTAAATTAAACATTGTAAGTAATGGGAAAATAAGTGTTCATTATATGGTGTTTTTCTTTTTTGGTACCAGGGATTGAACCTGATTGGGGCAGTTGGCTACTGAGCCACATCCCCAGCCCTATTTTGAATTTTATTTAGAAACAGAGTCTCACTGAGTTGCTTAGCACCTTGCTGTTGCTGAAGCTGGCTTTGAACTCGTGATCCTCCTGCCTCAGCCTTCCAGGCCACTGGGATTACAGGCATGTGCCACAGCGCCCTGCTTATTATATGGTTTTTATAGTATATATACATTGTATAACAAACACAAATGTTAGCTATTGAGAGATAAGAAATGAGAGTCTTTTTAAACTACTAGTGGACAGTGCCATAGTATGTGTATAAAGAGTGTATATTTCCTATTTGCCATTAACATTCATCCAGTGGAGTGTGTTTTATGACTTAATCATGACAAAATCATCTTTGGATTATGTGCTGTGCTTTGGGAAACTAGAAAAATACTTATAATAAATATTTATAATATTAGAAATACTTATAATAAATACTGAGGGGTATTCTTTTCTGAGTTAGAATGCCATTTATAAAATAAAATGCATTGCCTAACCTAGAGACTGACGACTTTCTACTTCCCTTCTTTCTGAATTGCCCGCTCCTGCTTTCCATGGCCCTCCCACCCCAGTCATGTCTACTGTGTGCTGCTGATCATTTCCTCATGTGTAGTTGGTCCTTGGAGAAAACAAGAGGCTGTTAGGGAAAAGAAAAGCACCTCTTAACATCACATCACTGGGCTGCCGTTTTTTAGGGAGTCAGAGAGTGCCTGGATCCTGACTCTAAAACAAAGGGGGGGGTATTGTGTTGATAGTTGGAAGTGAGAACTTGAATGAGGTTCCCGATGGGTCTGAGGCATGCTTCCTCAGTGGCCCCAGGTAAGCACAGTAGTTCAGTAAATACACGTCATTCAGACTGTGTGGTCTCTCTGTTGATTGCTTTTCATTTTATGTTTGCTTCATAAAAACTTTTAGAAAGGTACATCATTTTGAAGCTTCTGGGATACTGGCATCTGTGGTGCCAACGTGTAAGTAGGATTTATTTGAGCTTCACAAAATTGGAGACAGAGTATGATGCTAGGTGGATTTTGGTGGTTGTTGCTGGGGATGGAATCAGGGCTCTGCACACATGAAGCATATGCTCTACCACTGAGCTACATCCCCAGCTCAAGATGGATTTTATGTAATAAATAACATTTCAAGGTTAGCCTAATGCTCCAGGCCTAATGCTCCATTGCCTTATTAAGAACATGGGGTCTAGACTCAACT